TTCGTTCTGCTGTGCATGGGGTCGCTATGAGTCGGTTCCGACTCGATGGCACCTGACAACAACAACAACTGCTAAAGCTCTGGAAATCCTGGCCTAGCCAAATTGACACAAAACCCTAACCATTACAGCTGTGGTTTTGGATCTTCATCAGGTGTTTTAATTCTTCTTCGCTTTCAGCAAGCAAGATTGTATCATGTGCAGATTGCAGGTTGTTAATGAGTCTTCCTCCATTACTTACGCTGAGTTCTGCTTCACATAATCCAGTATCTTGAATTATTTACTCAGCATACAGGTGAAAGAATACAACCCTGACACACACTTTTCCTGATTTTAAGCCAGACAATATCCCCTTGTTCAGTCTGTACGTAAGCCTCTTCTTGGTCTTCAGACAAGTTCCTAGGAGCACAAGAAAGAATTCTGGAATTCCAATTCTTCTCAATGTTCTCCATAATTTGCTATGATCCAGAGTCAAATATCTCTGCATGGTCAATGAGACACAAGTAAACATCTTTCTGGTATTATCCACTGATGCAACAATGATATCCCTGTTCCATCTCTTGAATCCAGTTTGAATTTCTGACAATTCCCTGTTGATGTACTTCTGCAATCATTTGTGAATTATCTTAAGCAAAAGTTGTCTTGTGTGTGATATTAATGATGTTATATAGCAATTGCCATTCATTCTGTTGGATGATGTTTCTTTGAAATAGGTACAGGTAGCTGTCTTCCAAATGTCTTGGCTTAGACCAGCGAGCATCTCCAGGGCTGCATCAGTTTATGGAGGCATTCCCATTGGTTTCCTGTTATTCCTGGACCCTTGTTCTTTGCTAATGCCGTCGGTGCAGCTGCCAATCCTATTTTGAGGACGCAGCTCTTCCCCAGTCAGATTTTGAGTGCCTTCCAGCTTGAGCAGCTCATCTTCTGACACTACGTCAGACAATGTTCTGCTGCTACTAATAAGATTTTCAGCAGCTAAATCCTGGTATGACGCTGTGAGTTAATGCGCTTGACTACAAAGTCAGTTTGAACCAC